AGTCTCCTGCTCTGCAGACATTCAAAACCCGGGTGGATGTGTTCCTGTGCAATCTACTGCAGGTGATCCTGCTGTGGTAGCGGGGCTGGACTAGATGATCTTTTGAGGTCCCTTCCAACCCATGACATTCTGTGATTCTGTGTATAGACTGCTATGGAGGAGGTCATAGGCAGCTTGCCACGGCCTAGCCTGCAGTTAGCAGAACAAGAATATCCACGGAGACAGTCTGATCTACATTTCGCTTCACAGCATTAGTATTGCCTTTGCCCGCACAGAAAGGACCTGAAGTTGCACTATACAAACAGAGACTGCATTCCTATGTTAGCAGAGGCAATAAGTAAGGCTGGCAGTTTCTTCCCCAACAGGGAAGTTCACTAGCACAGCACTGGGTCTTAGAGGAGGATGGCTGGTACTAGGCCAGAGTACACAACAGGCCCCAGCTGTGCTGAGTTCAGTACGCCTAGCAATGAGAGCACGAGAGCTCAGACATCTTAGTGAGTCTATTGAGCCCTTCTTGCTGGGGTAGGTCCTCACACTCATACCGCACTCTGTGGTTGAAAACACATTCAGAACACCCAGGTCTGCAGTTCAACCTCCTAAAATCACCCCCTCCTTCCAAGAAGGCAATATTGATGCTAAGCCTAGAGTCAAGGACACTGTAAGGTCAGTTTTCCACAGATTTTAAGTAGAACATCTACAGGGTAGGCTGCACCACACCATGTTAATTTATCACCCCAACTACCATGCGAACATGCATCCATGGGTATACCTGGGTTCTCCTCCCTGTCAGGGAATTTGATCTGGACACCATAGTCCCGGGTGATCTGCTGGATCCGGGATCCTTTGGGGCCCATAATGGAGCGGTGGAACTTTTGTGCGATGGTGCATTCGATTGTCACTTGAGCTTCCTGCGGGAAAGCAAAGTTGCTCTATTGTGATGCAGCCTCCTTCACACCAGAAAACAAGATGCTTGTGCATGATGAAATCCACAAAGAGGAGTTAGAAAAGACAACAGCTGCTGACAAGGGAAGAAATTAATCTTTCCTAGAACCTTTCTTTTCTCAGAGAAGTTAGAGGAGGATTTAAAGAAGGTTGCCTCCAACCCATGATGTTAAAGGCTTCTGACATCAAACCTCAAGCTCTCTATTACCTTGAAGGGGAGGCATCATTAGGAGAAATGAAAAAGTGAAGAAAAGAAGGGAAAGGGAGAAAGAAAAAAGTGAAGAAGAGAAGGCAAAGGGAAAAAGGGAGAGGGAAAGGGAGGATAGGTTTGACACTTGGCTGCTTCCAAAAGTCAATACTAACAGCACAGGAAACCCCAGAGACAAACCACTGTCCAAGGCCAGGTACAGAGATGCGCAAGAAGGCTCTAATGTCTAGAAGTACACCAACTCATAACTCATAACTCTACCTCTAAAAACCAAGATGGTCAGAGAAGGCAATTCCTTCAAATAGCATTGTCATTTTGGGGCCAGCTGCCAATCCCCAGGCTGCGATCTGAAGTCTGCAGACCCTGTATATTAACAACAAAGCTCCTAATCCCAGAACTACTGTGGGACTTGTTCACATAAAGCTTGGCTGTACAGCACATTCAAGGAAGGCACTGCTCAAGCAATGAAGTATAAAGAAACAGTTTTCCTGTGACATACCAGGTCCTCAATGATCTCCTGGATGCGCTTCTTGGCTGCCTCCACACAGTCCTTGGCTCCCTTGAGGGTGACTTTGTCGCTTTGGGTACCAGAGCGTGGGAAGCTGACCATCACACCACCATACTCATCTGCAATCTCACGCAGAACTTGCCCTCTCCGGATGACAAAGTGGCGGTGATGCTTAGGGTCAACCACCATGGAGTCTTCAACCACGTTATCCTGCCAACAGATGACAGCCAGTCAATCCTGTCTGTCTTGGTGATAAGCACAAGTCTGCTGCACTCAACAGCAACCAGTTTACAACCACAAGTGACAGCAAGGAGGATCCTCCTGAGCTCCTGTGAAAGGTAGCAGAGGGTTTTAGACAAGCAGGTCCTCCACAGTCACTTGTTACATCTTGTTACAGTGACAGGGAAGAAAATAGAAAAAGTAGTTCATACCAAGTTCTTGATGAGGGCCTCCAATTCCTTCTGTGCCTCTTTGACAGCCTCCTCAGTTCCCATGATAGTAATCAGCTCCTGATCTTTGTCCTCAGAGGTTGGGAAGATGATGCGGGCCCCAGTGTTATCACGCACCTTGCGGATGTTGCCACCACCCTTACCAATAAGGAATTTATGATACTCTGGCTTTGCACGGAGGTCCACAGTGTAACTCTTCGTTTGCTGAAAGGAGTCAGATACCCATGGAACATACAGAAAATACACATAAGCACAAGCTGTAGGCATATTACCTGTACCCACATACACAGTGTTGCAAGAGCAAGGTAGATGCAACATTCTGCCTAAGTCAAAAAGGTAAGCAATTTCTTAAACTAAAAATACTACCCAAAAGACGTTCTCAGGGCTGAAAAACTAACTACACTCAGCATCATTGGTGAAAATTTGAGAAGACTTCTCCAGGAGAGAAGGCCTTGGCACTCACATAGGCCAGCATAACAATTTGCTGACTGACTGCTGCAAGCCAGGCAGCAGAGGCAACCAACTGATCAGGAGAACATGTTCACAGGCTGGTATTAGAAAGCGTTTTTCTTGCTATTAAAATGACCAGTCAGTCACAACTCAGAGCAAAGTCTTGTAACTCAAATTTCTCAAATGTGGATATATACAGTGAAATGGAAGAACTGCAGCTGGAATTCAGAGATCAAGAAAAAAGCAGAGGAGATACACAGAGTAAGCTGTTCCAGAGAAATGGAGATACCCAACAGCATTAAAACTATAGGAGTAGGGAGGCCTTAACCCTTTGAGTAGGTCCCCAGCCTAGGCAGAGAAGCATTACAGCCAGTTATTCCTCCCCTGGGGAAAGAATTCATTGACACAAGGATGGAAGCAACTTTTCTTTTAATCATCCAAACTGTAATCAAATGTCTCAAGGGAGGATTAGGCTGCCTGATGCCACAGGCTTCCCAGCAGGCAAAGCGCATCACTTCAACCCCCAAAAAGAAGCAGCTGGCCAAAATATCTGCTCCTTCCCCTATGAGACAAGGCTCACCTTCTCCTCTGCCAGGTGCAGCAGCTGCTTCTTGGCTTTCTCTACATCCTGAGCTGGGCCCCTGATGGTCACGGTGTCACTACCAGAGCCCTCAGTGGGAAAGTGGATGTGGACTCCACCACACTCTTCCATGATGGAGCGGATGAAGCGGCCTTTGGCGCCAATGAGGGAATTGTGCAGTTTGGAAGGAATAGAGACCTCCACCTCCGTGATGTTGGCCTAAGAGAGGACAGTAACAGCTGTTAGTCAAGCTGCAGAAATGTGTTTGCACCCACTCTGCTTACCCTCTAACTCTCATGTTGCTAGGAGCTTTATAGAGCTGTAAGAAATGGCTGACCAGACTTTGAGACTGGCTACCCCTGACACACAAGCAGCCACAAACTTATGTTTCAGAGTCAAGAACAGAATGACACTCACGTTCGTCATCTCCTCCCTGACAACAAACATTTATTCTTCCAGCAACATTTTCAAGTCCCTTATCTGCAACAGGCCAGTCATTTCACTTACCAGCTCCTTCTGGATGGCAAGAATTCTGTGGCGAGCAGCCTCACAGTTTGCTCTCTTGCCTGTGATAACAATTGTCTCCGAGTTGCTGTTCTCTGCTGGGAGATCAATTTTGGTGTTGCTTTCTTCACGGATCTGCCACAAACATAAAAAATAAAATAATCTTGGAGGTGTCTCATGTCAGAAAAATGCCCTTGGAAGTTATATTTGACACCATTAATGAGCAGGAGAGAGAAGCAAGTGGGATTTAGTTCAAGCAGTGACCATAATGAGAACTGGCAATAGAGAAGATATCTCACCTTCTTGATGTTGGCACCTCCTTTACCTATGATGTTCTTGTGGAATTGTTTGAAGATGGGGACAGAAATCGAAAAGCTATTTTCAACCTAAAGGAGAAAGGAAGGGATAACTGAAGATTCCACTGTCATAGAAAGAGAGGCCCCATCCCAGGAACTGGATAAACAAGCTTTTGATAAGAAGATATAGGCTCAAAGTTCTCTATACAAGAGACTTACAAGAATAAGCAAAGGTAAGTACCTTCCCCTATAGCCCTTAAATATCACCTCCCTTCCCCCAGCCAGCCAGAACAGTGTCCACAGCTCCCTCATCTTGAGGTGCTTCAGTCCTAGCCAAGTCAGTACTGCTCTGCTTTATTCCAGGGTTACCCAGGCATGTAGAAGAGAACAGGAGACAGAAATCTCCCTTACCAGGTCTGCCACCATCTTTTGCATGTACTTGGTGCACTTCTCCACCTCGTTTTTGGGACCTCTAAGTTGGACGATATCACTCTTGTGTGCAGGGTCAGGGAAGTTGATGATAACCTGCAGGAGGTGGTAATTTATAGTCAATTCAAGCAAATGCAAGAATTGCTGGGTCAGGCACATACAAAGGCTAAGGGAATCATACACATTCCTTTTTCCATTTGGAAAAGGGTAACCATGTTAGCAGCCTCTGTCTAAGAGAACTATTTTCTCATACATATCAGACATGGAGCCACCAAATTTATGATTTCAGCAGCAGTGCGTCTACTACCCACGTAGCAAATATCCCCTCTGCATTCCTCATGTCCTAGAAAGCCTTACCTCTGGGAATTTCTCCCTGATTTCCCGGATCCTCTCACCCTTTTGCCCAATGATGGTCCGATGGAATTTCTGCTCGATGATTAGGTCCTTGGTGCGTTCATTTTCCTGATGAGAATAGAATTTATATTGAGTTTTAAGCAGGAGAGTCACGTACTTTTATTTACCAGTTTGTTGCCTGAAAATTCACTTGCCAACATTGTCCCTCTTTTCTCTTCTAGACAAAATTCACTCTAGGTTGGCAGGGAACGTGTATTCAAGGGAATAGAGGAACACATCTGTGAAAAAAAGCTCACAATTGTCTTGAGAACCATGTGCCCGGTGGCCAAACAGCACACACTTGCACCAGAAGGTTATGAGGAGTTAGAAATCTGTGTGCGGTCAAGCAGTTATGATCTGGTGGCAATTAGATATGGTGGGACAGCTCACATGACTGGAATGTGGTCACGGATGGCTACGTCTTTTTTAGGAAAGACAGGACAACAAGGTGAGGTAGTAGAGTTGCTCTTTACATGACAGAGCAATTGCAACGTATCAAGTTCTGTCCAGGGGTGGATGTGGAGCAAGCTGAAAGGTTGTGGGTGAGAATTAAGGGGTAGGGCTAGCATCAGTAACACTGTGGTGGGTGTCTATTACAGACCACC